CTAGTTCAGATTAAAATATTGTGATCTCAACTAGTTCAGATTAAAATATTTTGATCTTAACTTGAAAGATTGACATCATTAATTCAAATATGGAAAAATCTTTATTTTTTTAACATGAGAACAAATGAGACTTCCAATCCAGAAAAAATAATCTTGAAAAAAATCACTAGCAGTTTGTACATTTCGAACCAGTACCAACGTGACATTTAGAGCAACATTTTCGATTTTTTTTCTTGCATTGGCACCGATTTGTACTACCCAGGGAATAAAAAAATGAAAACAATTTCATTTAAATGATTTTTTTCTCAACTTTTCATCAAAAAAATTCGTTACTTTAATTATTTTGCTAAAATCAAACTCATCCCGATGCTTTCATGATTTTTGTATCATTTCCACTGTCTTAAATTGATTATTCTGGAAAAATTGAAATCTTTGCATTAATTTCATTTTTTTTGCATGATTTTCATCAGATAATCTTAATTTTGCTGAAAAACTATAATAATAACAGTACTTTCATTGTTTTTGCATCATTTTCATCTCATTAAATTCTCTATTCTAGAAAAATTAAAATCATTGCACGAGTTTTAGTTTTTTCTCATTATTTTCATTAGATGATCTTCAGTTTTCTACAAAACTATAATCATTACAGTAATTTCATTATTTTTGCATCATTTTTATTGAATTAAATCCTGTATTGTTGAAACATTAGAATCACTGCATTAGTTTCATTACTTTTGCATCATTTCCACTTTATTAAACTGTCTATTCTTAAAAAATTGAATTCATCGGATTAGTTTCATTTTCTTGCATCATTTTCATCACACGATCTTGATTTTTTACAAAACTATTATAATAACAGTACTTTGATTATTTTCGCATCATTATTACTCCATTAAATTCTGTATTCTTGAAACATTAAAATCATCTCGTTAATTTCATTGCTTTTGCATCATTTTCACTTCATTAAGTTGTCTATTCTTAAGAAATTGAATCAATTGCATTAGTTTTATTTGTTTTTCATCAGGCAATCTTAACTTTTTACAAAAGCATTATAACAACAGTACTTTCATGACTCTTTTGTATCTTTTTTATTTCATTAAATTGTCTATTCTTGAAAAATTAAAATCATTGCATTAGTCTTGATACTCTTAAATTAAACATAATACACTCTTTTTTGTTGCTAGCCCAGGGAATAAAAAAAATGAAAAAAATTGCATGCCTTTCATGAATTTCATATCAAAAACAGGAAAAAAATCGCATTTCTGACGATGAAACGGACAAAAACATGCATGTATTTCAAAGTCATTAATTAAAATGAACATTTTAATCAATTTAACGCCATAAGTTTGATTAAAAATTATTTTAGTCAAAGTTATAGCATTAAGCTGATGAAAATGTTTATTTAAATTAATGAATTTGAAATACATGCATGTTTTTGTCCGTTTCATCATTTTAATGCAATTTTTTTCATTTTTTTATTCCCTGGGCATTCTGGTTCCAGTTCAGATACTGTAAAAAGATTCATCGACTAAAAGTGAGTGAAACGACGATTATTTTTCTAACTAAAATACATTCTTTTCAATTTAACATTTTGACATCCATACAATTTTCTAACTCCGAGAGATGGCGCTCAAATCAAAACCACATATCTAAACTGAAAAACTTGGCGCAGGGAATAAAAGACCAAAAAACTTTCAATTCAATTCTTATTTCGGAACTTTTGGTTTAAAATACTCTATGATTTCGGTTATTTCAAGAAAATCAAAATCATCGCAATAATCTTATTATTTTTGCATTATTTTCATTCCAGGGTTTTGATGACTGCGTAAAAATGAAAATCATTACCTTACTTTCATCACTTTTGCTCACTATCATTCTATGACTTTCATTATCCTTGAAGAATCAAAATCATAACTCTAATTTGATTAGTTTCAAAATATTTTCAGTTGATGGCTTTGATTGTTCTGGTAAAATCAAAATCATTAGATTAGTTTCGCTAGTTTTCCATCAATTTCAGTTCATGATTTTAATGACTTCGAAAACATCAAAATTATTACATTACTTTGAATTACTTTTATATCATTTTCATTTCATAACTTCGAATACTCTGGAAAAATCAAAATGATTATATTACTCTCATTATCTTTGCATTATTCTTACCAATGATTTTGATGCCTACGTAAAAATCAAAATCTTTGCATTACTTTTCCTCATTTTTATTTCATAACTTTAATTACCCTGGAAAAAGGAAAGTCATAATATTGCTTTCATTACTTTTGCATCATTTTCACTTCATGAATTTGATAATTCATCAAAAAAATTGATGAATTTGAACCTTATCTACACATCTGTCCTTACACATTTTAGGCTTATGAAAAACGAAATTTGTAAGGACAGATAGGATGTCGTGCCCTGCTTTTTCTATTAGAAACCATAAATTTTATTACTCTAAGTTTTTGCCAGTTTACATGGCTCCAGAGTAAATTGAACTTTTCAAGAGTTCACCGCACAGCCCCTCGAAGGGCAATCGGCAGCTGAGCCTTGTGAAAGGCTCAGCTGCCACCTGCAGCTTAGTCTGCTGGTGGCTTAGGCGCAGCCCTTTTTCATTCTTTTAAGGGCATGGCTTTAATTAAATTCTAATTCTTTTCAGGAAAAGATTTTTATGTGTGTTAATGATTTCCTTAGCATAATATGTATGTAAATTTAATTGCTTTCACGGAATGATATTTTCGAAAAAATTGCA